AGGCTTGAGCCACCGCGCCCGGCCTGCCTGGCATTTTCTAGCGGAGCGAGAGCTGCAGCTCTGAGCAAAAGTGCTGGCCCTCTTGCCAGTTCATGTAATAAATGGAAACCGAGAACAGGTTTTCCAAGCAGGTCTGCCTCCTCCTTCTGTTCTGTCCACCCCCTTGGGACCCCTGCATCCCCATAACCTCAGGTCAGATGCTCTGAGCCTGATGTGGACAGTACTCACTAACACATATCCCCATGGCCAGCCGGGCTCACAGCTGGACTCCACTCTCCAGCCTCTGCATCCAGGTGCGGCCATGTGGCTAAGTGCTAGGCAATGGGTGGGGGCGGGTGCTGAGCTCCTCTTCCAGGCTGGCCCCTAACAACCTCCTGTTGGTGAGCCCTGCTCTCTTTCTCACCCACTGCCCCAGTGGAGGGCACTCCGAGGACCTCAGGGAGGTCAGAGCCACCAGTGGAGGCTCTGAAGAACCACATGGAACTATGAGGAACCCAAAGAGCTGTGACAAGAGGGAGAAATAAGCTTTAATTGGGTTAAGCCACTGAGTTTATCAATAAGGCAGTGTCACAATCTTTGGCAGACTGTATTTGCCAAAGATAGGCTCCACGACATTACCCACCCCCCCAAGCTCTTTGTGGGATTTGGTTGACAAGAAAAACCGTACTCTGTAAAATATCTCAAAAGGTTTATTCTAAGCCAAATATGAGTGGCCATGGCCTATGACACAGCCTCAGGAGGTCCTGAGAACAGGTGCCCAAGGTGGTTGGGCTATAGCTTTATACATTTTATGGGGACAGAAGTTACAGGCAAAGACATGAATCAATACATGTAAAGTATACATTGGTTTGGCCCAGAAAGGTGGGACATCTTGAAGTGGGTGGGTGGTGCTTCCAGGTCAGAGGAGGATTCAAAGATTTCCTGACTGGCAATTGGTTAAACGAGTCAAGCTTTACCTGGAGAGTTGGAGTCGGCAGAAAGAAATGCTTGAGTTAAGACAACGGGGATATGGAAGCTAAGGTTCTTGTTATGTAGATGAAGCCTCCAGTTAGCAGGCTTCAGACTGAATAGATGTGCAAGTCTCTTGGGACCTTAAAAGGTATCAGACTCTCTGGAAAAGAGCTAGTAAGGGAAGGAGATTCTCTGCAGAATGCAAGTTTCCCCCACAAGAGATGACTTTGCAAGGCCATTTCAAAATATGTCAAAGAAAATTTATTTTGGGGTAAAATACTTTGATTTCCTTTGGGGCCTGCTCTCTGTCGTGTGTTGCTATACTAGAGTCACGTTACAGTTGGTATCTGATTGCTACAAAGAGTGTTCTGTCAGTCTTAGGAGGATCTCTATGTTAATGTTAATGCTGGTCAGTTGTGCCAAAACTTAAAGGGAGGAGGCTGTAATGAGGCGTGTATGACCCCCCACTTCCCATCATGGCCTGAACTAGTTTTTTTGTTTTTTTGGGGGTCCCCTTGGCCAACAGGGGGTCCATTCTGTCAGCTGGGGCTTGTAATTTTATTTTTGGTTTACAATATGATCTTGACCTTCTTCCCTTTGGGAGATAGGGTCTTTGTCTCCTCCCACTGAATCTTGTTTATTTATTGTTTTTTATTTTATTAATTTTTGTTTTTTAGAGATAGTCTTGCTCTGTTGCCCAGGCCAGAGTGCAGTGGTGGACTCCTAACTTACTTCAGCCTCAAACTCCTAGGCTCAGGTGATCCTCCTGTTGCAGCCTCCTGAGTAGCTGAGACCACAGGTATGTGCCATCTTGCCTGGCTAATGAAAACTTTTTAAAAAATTTTAGATATAATATCTTGTTATGTTGACCCAGCTGATCTTGAACTCCTGGGCTCAAGGCATCCTCCCACCATCACCTCACAAAGTGCTGAAATTATAGGTGCATGCCACCATGTCCAACTAATTTTTCTTTTCTTTTTTGTGGACAAGATCTCTCTGTGTTGCCCAGGTTGGCCTGAAACTCCTAGCCTCAAGAGATCCTCCTAAAGTGTTGGGATTACATGCATGAGCTGCCTTGCCTGGCTCATGGGTGGGCTTGTGACACACTTATGACAAAGAGAATGTAGTGAAAGTGGTACTGTGTGACTTCCATGACATCCATGTTCACTGGAACACTCATGCGTGGAGGCCTGAGTTGCCCTGTCAGCAGTCCAACTACCCTGAGGCCACCACACTGTGAGGAAGCCCAACCAACCCACATGGGGCAGACCACATGGAACAGCTCAAGATCACCATGCTGTTTCAGCTCCAGCCCCTCATCTGACTACAACCACATGTGAGACCTCATGTCATTTTCTCTCCCGCCCACTGTATCACAGCTGTGTAGGTTTCATTTGTACTTTCCTCAAGGCTCTTGCATGAGCTCTTGCTTCACTTAGTCTCAGGCTTGAAGCTGATACTCACAACCCTCTTCTGAATTACTCATTCAGATCCCTTTCACCCTCAACTAGACCCATGCTGGACTAGATAGCTTACCTGGTGGGTTGCCCCAGATCCTCACCCCAGTGAGACTGAGCCCCTGGTGACCATTCCCTTCTTGAACCATAGCTGCTCACTTGCCTATTTGCTGACTACATCAGGTGAAAGAGTCCCGAGGGACACCCATGTGGGTGGCACACAGTCTTCTCTGCTTCCGTTGTGTGACAGCAACCTTACCTCCTCTGATGGTTCAGGTGAACTGCCCCTGCTCGATGGGTGACTCTTCCTCTGCCTACTGATGTCTTGACATGAGTAGCCTGGCGTGACTGGTGTCGCTTAGTGGAAGCATTCCCCCTTTGGAAACCAGAACCTCCGAAGCTGCAGACTCTGCAGTTGTGTGGACAGGAAGCACAAATTCTCCAGGTAGGTCACTGAGAGTGATGCTAAATGAGGCTATTCCTGCTTCCATTCTTTGGTTCTTAGATCCAGGTATTTTACCTACTGGGGACACCATGTACTGGTCATTGACTTGGGGTGTACATACACCTTGGAGGATGGTGCCCTTGCTTCACAGGTGGCACCTCCAAGCTGGTGCTGTGGCTGAGCCTTCAACTGGCCACTCCATCCTCCCATCAGCCAGCAGTCTCTGGGTGGTACAGCATATAATAGGACCACTAGACACCATGGGTGTGCCTGCGGTTGCCCCTCTTTTGCTGTGAAGTGGAGCCCTTGGCCCGATGTGATGTTACACCCTCGTTTTGGGCTCTAATACTGGAGCAAGCCAGCCACCATGTCATGAGGACTCTCGAGCCATCTGTGGAGAGGCCCACCTAGGGAGGAACAGAGACCTCCCACCAACAGCCGGCACTGTCCTGCCAGCCTGGGCGTCAGTGCCTTGGAAGCAGGCCCTCCAGCCCAGGCCTGGCCATTCCCAAGGACATTCTGACTGCAACCTCAGGGAGGCCCATGAGGCAGCAACACACAGTGAAACCACCCTGGATTCTTCACCTGGAGACACCGGGGTTATCATAAACATCTATTGCTGCTTTCAGTCACACTTCTTGAAATATTTGGGTATTTTCCCCTAGTGTCTGGTTACCTGAGTCAGTGAGCATCAGTCCTGTTGGGGAAGGAGTAGGGGATTCCCATAGGCCTTTGTCACGATGTTGCAGAGTCCTTCTTCCTGGGAACACGCTTTTCCCTTCAGTGGATGGGATTTGGATTTGAAAACTGGCTCAGTTCTGGACACTGGGCAAGGGATCAGGATTTCTCTTTGGGGTGGCTGCTCTCAGCCTCCTAACCCCATCTTCCTTGATTTGTCCAGAGAGGATGGGCCAAGTCTCACCTGTGTCAGCCATCCATCTATCTTGCCCCTAGGGTGCTTCTTTCTTTCTTTCTTTCTTTCTTTCTTTCTTTCTTTCTTTCTTTCTTTCTTTCTTTCTTTCTTTCTTTCTTTCTTTCTTTCTTTTTCTCTCTCTCTCTTTCTTTCTTTCTTTCTCTCTCTCTCTTTCTTTTCCTTTCTTTTTCTTTCTCTCTCTTTCCCCTTCCTTCCTTTCTTCCTTCCTCTCTCTCTTCTTTCTTTCTTTCTCTCTCTCTCTTTCTTTTCCTTTCTTTTTCTTTCTCTCTCTTTCCCCTTCCTTCCTTTCTCCCTCTCTCCTTTCTTTCTTTCTTTCTCTTTCTTTCTTTCTCTCCCCTTTCTTTCTTTTTCTCTCTCTTTCCCCTTCCTTCCTTTCTCCCCTTCCTTCCTTTCTCTCCTTCCTTCCTTCCTCTCTCTTTCTCTCTTTCTTCTTTCTTTTTTTTCAGAATTTCACTCTTGTTGCCCAGGTTGGAGTGCACTGGCATGATCATGGCTCACTGCAACCTCCACCTCCCATGTTCAAGCAATTCTCCTGCCTCAGCCTACCGAGTAGCTGAGATTACAGGCACCCACAACCATGCCCAGCTATTTTTTTTTTTTTTTAAGTAGAGACGGGGTTTTACCATGTTGGCCAGGTTGGTCTTGAACTCCTGACCTCAGGTGATCCACCTGCCTCAGCCTTTCAAAGTGCTGGGATTATAGGCATGAGCCACCACACCCGGCCAGGTGCTGTTTTCTATCAAGCATCTCCATGGCTCGCCGTGGACCTCACTGCGTTCCAGCCTTGATGCTTGTTAAAGTGATTGCATTGACCTTGCTTCCGGTGGTTTGGTGCGCGCTCCCAGCCCCTTATTTCTGGATCCTCTTATTCCCAGCACTCTCAGCAAGCCTCGTTCTGTAACGGCACCTCCTACCACCCACCCTGGCCTATGGCGGACAGCCCTACCCCTGAGCTACCTGGTGAAGCCAGTGCCGGGTCAATGGGACGTCCTCAGTGGTGTCTTGTGGAATGCTGTCACCCAGTGGGTTTTCTATCTGCTCCGGTCCATGCCCACTTCTCTGTCTTTTGATCCCTTCTTCTATCATCTGCCATCTTTCTCCAAGTTTCAAGAGCCACTTCAGCAGTGCGTTAGCACTGTCTCCTGCTGTTAAATCCGGCGTGACTGGTGTCTTAGTCATCTCGGGCTGCCATAAGAAGAAACCACAGACTGAATGGCTTAAACAGCAGACATTTATTTTCTCGTGGTTCTGGAGGCTGGAAGTCCAAGATCAAGGTACCAGCAGGATCAGTTTCTGGAGAGAGCTTGCTCCTTGCCTTGTACATGGCTGTCTTCTCCCTGTGTCCTCACATAGCCTTTCCTCTGTGCATGTAAGGCGGGGGGAGGCAGGGGGAGAGGGAGAGAGAGAGAGAGAGGCAGAGAGACAGAGAGACAGACAGAGAGAGAGAAAGGGAATGAGATCTGGTGTCTTTTCCTCCTTTTCTAAGGATACCAGCCTTATCAGGTTAGGGTCTCACCCTGATGACCTCATTTCACCTTAATCACCTCCTTATAGGCCCTATCTCCAAATACAGTCACATTGGGGGTTAGAGCTTCCACCTATGAATTTTTGGGGGGATACGATAGAGTCCATAACAACGGGAGAAGGCCCCCATTTCACGAGCTCCTCCTGCCCTTGATCCAGTCCCAAGAGCACTGTCCCACCTCCACTGCTCCATGCTGGCTGGGTCCAAGCTCCTTCAGGGTGTAGGCTCGTCCTCCCTGGCTGGTCCAGCATGTCCCCAGGTGGGTGTGGTTGTGACTTAACCCCAGTGATGAATCTAGTGGCCGGCACAGGTTGTAGGTGGATTCTGAGGGCAGGATGTTTGGTCTTCCACGTTGAAGGCTGCGGTATCATCTTTAGGCAAGGAGAGGCTGTTATCCTCTGAGGGAGGACTTGGACACTTCTGCAGGCCCAGGGGGTCCAGGTAAATCTGGGGAACCACAATTGGAGACTGTGCATTCACTCAGACATCTCATCATGCTCTTCTTGGAGTCCCACTCCTTTGTGGTCAGGGCTGGAAGCTTGGCATTGCAGACCTGACAGGATTGGGCACCTGGCCTACTCTGCAGCTTCCCTCTTCATAACTAAGCCCTGGGCTGGTTCTTGCTTTTTTTTTTTTTTTTTTTTTTTCGAGACAGAGTTTTTGCTCTTGTCGCCCAGGCTGGAGTGCAATGGCGCGATCTCACTGCAACCTCCACCTCCCGAGTTCAAGCAATCCTCCTGCCTCAGCCTCCTGTGTAGCTGGGATCACAGGTGCCTGCCACCATGCCTGGCTAATTTTTGTATTTTTAGTAGAGATGGAGTTTCACCCTGTTGGCCTGGCTGGTCTTGAACTCCTGACCTCAGGTGATCTGCCCCCCTCAACCTCCCAATGTGCTGGGATTACAGGCGTGAACCATGACACCCGACGGGGATCACATTTCAACCTGAGATTTGAAGGGGGCAAATATCCAAACTCCATCAGGAGGGTAGGGTAGTGGGTACAGTTTTTAATTGGGTACAATTTAAAGGGGTACAGTTTTAAATAGCAAAATCCACATTGAGAAAGGGACATCTGAGCAGGAGGTGTGGAAGAGGGCGGTGTGGATGTCTGGGGACCAAGCTTACCAAACTTACTGGGCAGCAGTCACTGTAAGTGCAAAGGCCCTGAGGCAGGACCATGCCTGGTAAGCTCAGGAGCCAGCAAGGAGGTCCCTGTAGCTGGAATGGAGGGAACCAGGGGAAGAAAAACAGGAGGGAAGGTTCTAGAATGGGGGACAGTGGACAGATATGGGGCTTTGTGGGACTTTGGCTTTTACTCCGAAGGAGATGGGAGCCATTGCAGGATTTCGAGCAAAGACTGAGGTGATCTGACTTATGTTGTAAGAGGATCCCTCTGACTGCTGTGTTGCTGGGTGGAGAACACACCAGACCCGGCTGGGCCAGAAGTGGGGAGACCAAGTAGGAGTCGTGTGCAATAGTCCAGGTGAGACATGACGGTGGTTAGGACCTGGGAATAGCGGTGGAGGTGGTGACACGTGGTCGGGCTTGACTGTGTTTTGCAGGAAGAGCTGACAGAACCTGCTGGTGAATATGATGTGCTGTGTGAGCCATGGGAGGCAGGGATGATGATGTGGTGTAGGTACAATGTGCACAGGCCCGTGTTGACACAAAGCATTTATTTCATTTCCCTTGGTCTCTTCTAATGGCTGGTCTGAGTTGGTTTCTTTTTCCTCCTCAACGGTTTTCTGAGCTGTAACAGCAGTGAGAGAGTGTCCCTCCTCGCCCCGGGGACACACCCTTCTGTGGCTGGGGTTGGGGGAGGGGATTCCTCACTGCAGTGAAGTAGGGGGAGTCTCCTGGGTGGGGGGAAGTATCTGGGCATCTTCTGTGACAATCTCAGATGAAAGTTCGGCTTCACTTCATGGGGGGTGGCATTTCACTGCAGGGACAGACTACAGCCTAGAAACATGTCTTTCTAAGAACAGGCTCTGGCGTGCCCAGCCCGAAGAGGCTATTTTAGGTTTTGGGTTCTGTTACTTTGGTTACTAGTAGCAAATTGTTGTCAGAAAAAAAGCTGGTGCCAAATGTGTATCCCCCCCATCCCCCACTCTGATGTGATGTATTGCAAAGGCTTCCCATTTGAATCAAAGCTCTGTCATGAAAAACGCAGGATCCAGAGGGGCCAATACAGCGACGTGGACTGTTTCAGGTTATGCCAGTGTTCTCTGGCATTGACGCTCCTCAAAGCGGCCATCGCTGCCCTTGCGAAGTGTAGTGTGTGCCCTCGCCCTTCTTCACCAGACTTGTCCCAGGTGACTCACAAGGAGCAACAGCCTGACCTCTGTAGGTGTGAGAGTTTGCGATAGGGGCCCACCAGCGCCGTCTCCCGTTCAGTCCGGACCCTGTGACATCAGCACTCTTCGTCCTCCTGAGCAAGTGGGACAGTTCTGGGGAACTTCCTCTTGCTTTAATGGGCGAACTGCTTGGGACTACGTCCAGTGCCAAACGGTCTTCCCGATCAGCAGCAGGGACCCTGGCATACTCCTGCCCCCAGGTCTTCCATGGCTACCCAGTGTCTCTGTCAGGAAGCCTCATCCTCAGCTTGCATTGCAGACAATTCAGGGTTTAGCCCCAACTTGCTTTTTTGGCCGTACCTCCCACATGCTTGTACTACGTTCCTTCCAGCAACTGCAATCAGGCCCCGTGGCTCCCCATCCTCACCCCCCTTTCCTCTTCTGTGTGTCTCTTCTGCCTGGAATGAGCTCGCTTCCTTCAGCCACCACCCTTGCGTGGCTGGATCCTTCAAGTCCCTTCCTACTGCAAGCCCTTTGCACGTGCTGACCCTCCTGCCTGGAAGCACTTCTTCCACTCTTTGTGGGATGGACTGCGATTCCTCCTTTGTGTCTTGCACGTGGAAGGCCAAAGAGAGCGTCCATGAACCTCCCCTCTCCATAGCATTGATGGCTGTATAGAATTCAATAGTAATTTGTGCATTTGGTTAACATCTTCCTCACCTTCTACACCATAGGCTCCATGAGACTTTGTTTTGTTCACTACCAGATGTGGCACCTGGGAGAAAGGAGGGGTTGTCTACCTTTTGTCGAAAGAACAAATTAATTTATTATTACCCGCATGCCTGTTTCCCTTGCACACTCAAGGAAATGGGCCATGACCTGGCGCAGTGCAAAAAGCTCAGCCGAGGAGCTCCTCCCACCTCCGTAGCTCACCTGCAGTGTAAGCAAGTCACTTAACCCTGGGGCAGGGATGATGCATCCCATGGCTCCTGGCAGCCTGACCCAGAGCCTCCAGGTTCTAACCTTTAAAATGGGGATATTTATACCTATTCATAGGGTTGTTGTAAATATGAAACTAGGCCATGCCAAGTGAATGCCCGGGACCTGACCCAGGTCCACCCCACCTCAGGCTGTAAGGCTGCCCGTGGGACCTGTATTTATCAGGAAAACCTTTCATGCCCTGATGCTGTGCCAGGCCCAGGGCTGGGAGCTGAGAGAACAGGGGATGATGCTGCTGCAGGATGCCCTCATGTCGGAAGACAGGCACTGCCTGGGGGAGAAGCTGCTCTGGGGCTTTTGGGGCTCCCGGGAGGACCCTGGAGGCCTTCCTGGAGGAGAAGGTGAAGAAGTTGGACTTTCCAGGCCAAGAAGGAAGAGGGAGGGGGTCAGAGGCTTAGAAGACAGAGGAACTGGAATGATCCCTCCTGCTAGGTGAGGTGTAGAGGGGCTAGGATTCAGCTCAGGGGCCTAGAACTGGGCCAAGGTGGGGTGGGGTGACCTGACCTTGGGCCTGGGGACTGCCGCACTCTTTCCTTCCCTCTGCTCTCCTTCTTCTGCTCCCTGGAGGGTCTCTCCTTAGCCATTCCCTCACCTCTCCCTTCCTTGGAGGGTAACGGAGGAGAGGGGGAAGCGGGGGGGGGGGGGGGGGGGGGGGGGGATTAACGTGTGTCTCTGTGGCTGTGGCTGTCTGCTCGCGCTTTGTGCACACTGGCATCATGGGGTTCTGTGCTCATTCAGGGAGAGGCAGCTGGGACCCCAAGAGGGCCAGCGGCCCCTCGTGCCTTAGGATCACCCTGGGCGCACGCTCTCTCCTCCCTGCTTTGATGGGCTTCTCTAGCCCTGGCCCTTCCCAGGGGAGGTCCAGCCTCCTCCTCTCGGCGTGGCCGATTGCTCTTTCTCCTTCGTCTGTTGCACGTGGAAGGTCGGAGGGCGCGTCCGTGAATCTCCCGCCCTTCCTCATGGCATTGATTGCTGTACCCCTCGGACCCAGTGTGGGGGCGGGGGTGGGCAGCGACCCCGGCTCCCAGCAGGGCGGGTCTGGGGAAGGGCAGGACGCAAAGGGGCTCAAACCAGAATCGCAGTCTGGAGCTGGAGCCTCTCCTTGGCCAGTTACTCCGGCTGAGTCCCTTTCCCTCTCCGTGCCTCAGTTTCTTCTCAGTAAAATGGGCATCGCCGTGAGGCAGGCGGCCCTCGCGCGGTGACGGTGACGGCTGGCAGAGGCGGCTGCCGCGGGACCGGTGGGTGGGGCAGAAAGGGACGCTTCTGTCCGCGGCAACAGCCCCAGCGCTCGCACCCACACGCCGCCCCGCGCCCTCACCCTGCGCCTCTCACCCGGTGCCCGGCCCCGCGCCCCGGGATCCGCGCCCTGCGATCCGCGCCTCGCGATCCTCGCCCAGCGCCCACCCTGGGCGCCCGCAGCCGCACCCGGCGCCCCGCACCCGCGCTCCGGGCGGAGCCTCCTGGGCGCGCCTCCCCGCCCGCCCGCCCGCCCGCCCGCGCAGGGAGCCGAGCCCGGAGGAGGCGGAGGAGGAGCGGCCGCCTCGCCCGGCCCCCCGCAGCCGCCCGGAGGACGCCCGTCGCGGTCGCAGCCTGCGGAGCCGCCCATGGCCCAGCAGCCGGGTTAGCCTCGCCGCGCGCCCCCGCCCCCCGCCCCCCGCCCCGGGCCCGCGCTCACGCGCCCTTGCTGTTTTGCCAGCTGACCGCGCCCCCGCCGCGCCCGCCGCGCCCGCCGCCGACCAGGGCTCCTGGTGCCTGTGCCAGCTCAATGGGGCCGCCGACCTCGAAGTTTCCGAAGGTAAGCGCGGGCTGCAGGGCGCCCGGCCCCGCCGCTTCGGAGCCGCCCCGCGCCCACCCCGCCTGATCCCCAGCCCCGCAGGACCTCACCCTGCCCGGGGACGCGGCCCTCGGGTGTGGGACTCCCGCCACTGGAGGACAGGGCGCGTCTTCGCGGGCCAGAAGCGGGACTCAGAGAGCCCGGGCACCGACCCCGGCGCCGTCCTGGGGCAGGGCTGGCTCAGCTAGGGTCCGAAGTGCCGGGGTCCCTCCGGAGCCCGTGCTCTCGGGGTCTTGAGGGAACCCGACAGAACCGGCTTGGAACCCTGCCTCCAGCACTTGCCTGCCGCGAGAGCCCGGGCTGATCGCTCCACCGGTGTCAGCCACAGCGTCTCGGCCGAGAACCGGCGCGCTCGAGCCCCCGGCTCGCTGCCCGGCTGAAGGTGCGGGCGCGGGGTCCGGCGCTGAGTCGGGGGTAAGACCCAATGCCGCGGAGTTCAGTCCCGGCCGCGGGTACCATCCAGCAGCGTCTACGCGCTCCTCCCGCTGCCCGCGCCGGTGGGTGCTGAGTCAGGCCCGGCTGCTGCTCCGGTTTGGAGAAGCTTTTTTTTTTTTTTTTTTTTTTTTTTTTGCTGGCAGGGGACAGTCCATGACAGTGGCGCGCCCAGAGCCCGAGGAGCGTCGGTGGGATGGACAGCTGCTCTCGCACCCTGGGAGGTGACCCGGGTTGGCTTTTATGCGGAGGGTCCCAGGGACAGGGACCACGCACTCTGTGGCCCGAGACGCTGCCCCGCCTGGGTTGAATCCTGGCTTCACCCTGACTGGCCGGGTGGCCTTCAGCAAGTGGCTTACTCTCTCAGGGCCTCAGTTTCTCTTCTGTGAAATGGGGATGACGTTGCTTGGGGGCAAGGTTGTGGCAGAGAGAAAAGAGGAGGCCTATGGGGGGTACTGGTGAGGGCCCAGGAATCTGTTTTTGCTTTCTTCCCTCCTCCCTTCAGGGGCCCAGTGAGGTGGGTGATGGAAGGTACAGAGGGCTGGTGGACCTGGGCAGGGTGCTGGCCTCTGTCACTTTATATAACAAGCACACAGTTCCAAGAGCTTTCAAATATCCGCCCCCCCACTCCGTTGAATCCTCGCCACATTATCCCCATTATAGGTTAAGGAAACTGAGGCGCAGAGAAGTTAAGTAACTTGCCCCAGGCCACACAGCTGCCAGTAGCAGAGCTCCAGAGGCTGTGCTTCTCCTGGGCGGGTCCTCCTTGGCCTGTGCTCACACTGTCACGGGAAGATGTCACAGGGACACTATCAGCAAAGTGGAGGGGACAGGCTGTGGCAGGGATTGGGGCCCGTTGCCCACAGGTGAGCTCCTCTGCCGGCTCTCAGTGCCCCCACAATCTGCTGCAGCTGCCTCCTCAGTCTCATTGTCCCCCATGCTCTGACCACGCCCTGGTCGCCTGCTCATGCTCAGCTCCCTCCAGGCCCCTGAATGTGTCTGTTCCCACCTCCCTGCTGTGGAGTGAGGGTTTCCACCCACCTGGGATGCCTTCTCTGTCCCAGGTGTCCTCATCCCTGGGAATACCCTCACCCCTTGAGGGCAGGGACTATATCCGGTCATGTCTGCAGGACACTGACTGTGCTCAGCAAATCGCAGCTTCTCAGTATGGAATTGTTGACTGTCGATTAGTGAGTGCATGAGTGAGTGAATGCCACATGGCCTTTCTCTGCTTTTTAGAGAAGGGGTAGGCAGGCTCGACGTAGAACCTTCTCCAGCTCTCTTAGGACTCCCCAGAGCCTGCTTGTGGCTGGCAATGGGTCGTGGAAGACCTTTGGGCTGGGAGTCAGTCCCTGAGTTCTGAACGCCAGTGTGTGTATGTGTCATGTATGTATCTGTGGGTGTGTCTGTGTATCTATGTGTGCATCTGTGTGTGTATCCAAGTGTGTCTGTGTATGTCTGCATATCTCCATGTCTGTATAGGTGTGTCTGTGTGCGTGTTTGTGCCTCTTTCTGCGTGTGTAGCCATTGAACCCTTTTTGGAATAAAAAACTTGCAAAATGAATGCATGATCGATCACATGCATCTTGGAAAAACATGAAACAATATAGAAATAGTTGGAGTAAAAGGTGCAAGTCCTCCCCTCCCCCTCCCCACCTCCTTCCTACCCAGGACCAGCTACATAATTTGTGGGGCTCAGTGCAGAATGAAAATGCAGGGCCCTGTGTTCAAAAAGTAGGGAAAGTGTGGTTAAAAGTACGCACCTTCTTCTGCACTCTCTCTCCACCTGTCATGGTGGTTTTATTTCCTATGTAACATCGTGTTCCTTTGGGCATAGGCAAGTGCAGACTCTTGCAAGACACCTGTCCTCTGGCCAGGGACAGGGAAGTTGAGTGTTGAGTCAGGCATCTCCCCTTCCCACAGGTCCACAGGCTGATGCCCCAACCCATGGCAGACAGGTAGCTCACAGGGCATTGCAGCCTTTGGGTTGAGACACAATTGGCACCTGATGTTCCTGCTGAACTGCCACCAAACACACAGTGGCACTACCAGCCCAGGGAAGGGTGGTCACCACCATGATCCACCCCAGGATGCACTGGGGTGCATACACTCCTAGATCCTGTGCCTTGCCAGGGGAGGAGGGCAGCAGTGACACTGGGACCAGGCACAAATAGGAGGAAGGATGGGGTCCAGGGTACCAGAGGCCAGGGGAGCAGGCAGCTGAGAACCGGGGTCGGGGAGGCGGCAGGAGGCAGAAGCACATGCTCCATGCCCACAGCGCAGGCTCTGCTGTTCCATCAGACATTGCTTAGGAAGCATACATTCAAAGATAAAGCTATCAGGAAGTTGATGACTCTGCAGAGCCTTAAACCCTAAGCATGAGCCCCTTCCATGCATGAGGCCTGCATGGCTGCATGGGTCACACACTCATGAAGCAGGTCCAGCTCCACCCCCATGGCTGTGGATAGGCACAGAGCTCCAGTAACAGCAGCCAACACTGAGAGGCACTATGTAGGATCCAGGGACGCTTCCAGTGCTTCCTCGGCATGAGCTGCTTTCCTTCCGACCACAACCCCATGAAATAGGTGCTCTTGTTGGCTCCGTTTTACTGAGGCACAGAGAGGTTAAGTGATTTGCCTGAGGTCCCACAGCTATTAGTGGTGGAGAGCCTTTCGGTCCTATCCCAAGGCTTGTCCTCAGTCACTGTACCCCACCACCTCTCAACAAGGGCCTGAAGCTCACTGCTTCTGTTGGGAAAAAAAGCAAATCTTATTTTTTTCCATTTGCTGGTATGGAAACGCCCCTGGCTTGGAGTTGCTTCCAGAAAAACATAGAAGTTCCAGCCCTTAGTCTGGTAGCCAAGAGCCTGGGTGGGCTGGGCCTGTGGGGCTGTGCACTGTCCCCTGCTCGCTCTCCTCCAGGAGAGTTCCCAGGAGGCCTTGGGGCTGCTCCCTGCCCTGGGGCACCCCTGCCCCTGCCTTGCCTGGCCAACGCCTGCACAGCCTTCAAGGCCCCCGGATGCCTCTTCCTTGGTGGGCTTCCCCTGTGGTTCCCCCAACACCTTAAGGGATGTGTCAGTTTCAACGTGGGATCCCCAGGGTTTGACTTGCCTCTTGGGGTCACACACCACATGTTTGAGGAGTGAATGGATGAAATGGTCTGAACTCTGATTAGCACATGGAACACAGTTCAGGAGGGGGAGCTGTCTTAGTCCGTTGGGGCTGCCGTAACAAAACACCATATAGCCTGGTCAGCTTATGATCAACACAGGTTTATTTCTCACTATTCTGGAGGCTGGAAGTCCAAGATCAAGCCATGGCAGATTCAGTGTCTGGTAAGGGCCTGCGTTCTGGTTCATGGATAGTGCCTTCTTGCAGTATCCTCACAGGGTGGAAGGGGCGAATGAGCTCCCTTGAGTCTATTTCAAAAGGGCACTAATTTCCTCTTAATTGTTTCCCCAGGGCCCGGCTCCTAATACTTCACATTGAGGATTAGGATTTCAACCTAGGAATTCAGGGGGACACAGGTATCCAGTCCTTAGCAGGGGGGATTTCCGAGGAAGTTATGCATGGGGCAAGGATGGGGCTAAGGTGTTGAGAGTGTAATTGGCACACTGGTCACAGATGCTGCATGTTGCAAATTTGCAGCCCTGGGTGAAGTTTAATATCTTTGCTTCTGTTCTGTGTGTGTATGTGTGTGTGTGTGTGTGTGTGCTGTGTATTTTTTCAGAACTGCCATTTATTGGGCACTCCTGTGCACCTGGCACTGCACTAGCACTATGCACTATACCCTCTATCTCACTTATCCTCACGTCAATCTCTAAGGGTGTGGACGCGCCCTCTGCCCCCATTTTACAGAGGAGCACACTGAGGTGCAAGTGATGTGCTCCAGGCTGCTCAGCCGTGAATGGTGGAGCCACGATCTGAACCTAGTTCTTCCTGCCTTGGCTGGACCGCGAGCTGCTCTGCCAGTGTCTACATTTAGGTTCTGTTCTATGATTCCTTCTCAGGAAACTGCTATTGTCAGGGCTGCCTGCTCATCAGAGCCCCCGTCTCAGCACAGTGTTCCCCTGGCATTGCAGAGCCACAGAGCTGGGAGCCACTGTTGCCCTCTTTCCTGTGCACTCCTGTGTGTCCCATCAGAATCTCAGGGCTGGGTGGTGAATTCCCAGGATGGGCACCTGTGAGAGTGCAAAGTCAGAAAAAAAGATGACGCTGGGCTTTGGGGGCTGTGATGGAGACTCACTGGGTGGGGCATCTTTAGATGGGAGGCCAGGCAGGGAGACACTGTGGAAATCCTTCTTTCCTAGGTCTAGAGTGGACTGCTTGCCCAGGTCTTCATTCCAAGCTTGGCCCAGCTCAGGGCTCCATGTTGAGTGGGGTGTGGCTTCATGGTGGGGACACTGTTGCACTCTTTGCTGGCACTCCTGGTGAGAGGATGGTGTCCATCAGAGCCTCTTCCATTGTGTAGTTCCTGTCTGCCAAAGAATCTTTCTGCAGCAAGAATCTGAAATCCAGCCTAGTTTGACCCAAGCACAGAGTTGATCAGGCTGAGTGTTGGGAAGTTCAGGGGATGTCCTGGTTTTTTGGGAGGCTGAGCACAGACGGCCTTCTCCTCGTTAGGAGGCAGGCAAAGCCGGCAGGTGAAGGCTCACAGACCGCAGGTCCCAGGAAGAGAGAAGAGGGCTCTTTGGAAACCCTGAGAAAGGCTTCTCCTTGGCCTTGCTTGGGTGGCCTTCCCACTGCTGGCACAATTTCCCTGTCCCCATGGATGGGCTCTCCCAAGCAAGGGGATGGGTGCCCCTAAGTGACAGCCCCACCAGCACCCCAGGTCACAGATGGCAACAGAGAGTAGTGTTCATCCTCTTAACTGACATTTACGGAGAACTTGCTGCAAGCGTGGCACAGGCAGGGCACGTTAGGTGTATCAGGTGCTTACTCGGTGATGGGATGCGATCATCACAGCCACTTTGCAGGTGATGCTGTGATATGCGGTGAGGTTGGGAGAAGTCACTGCCCCAAGTCCCACCATCAGGGGCTGTCCTGCTGGGCTTGGGCACCTTTAAGAGGATGGGTGCTGAGGCTGCTCAGAAGCACCTGGCTGCCTCCTTCCTCCTGCCTTCCCGTGCACGGGGGAGGAGAGGTCTGGGGTGGGGCTGGGGAGGGTTTGCCTGGAGTCGCACAGCAGGTGAGAGCAGAGCCGGGGCCTGTGGGATGCACCTCACTCCAGGCCAGCATTCATTGTGCCCGCCCGTGTCATCTGGGTCTGCAGTGCCCAGGTGGGGAATATTCTGCAGCAGCCCACCCTCAGATCTGCCTCCTCTCCTTCATCTCTACCACCCCGGGTCAAACTGTTGTCTCCTCTTCTGGCCTACTTGAGGGCCTTCCAATCCAGACTCCCCCTTCAACTCCCTAAAATAACCATGCTGACCTCTGCTGTGCCCATCTCCACGGCGCTCTCTACACGGCAGCCTTTCTCCTGACCTTGGTACATCGTGGGCTCTCTCTTGTCCTGGGCTCTTTGCCCCTGCTATTCCCCCTGCTCCTGGTGCTAACACAGCGCTCACTCTAACTCATCCTTCAGGTCGCAGCTTCCACGTCCTCTCTCCAGAGACCTTCCTTGCCTCCCACCTAAATATGTCCCACCCAGGAGTCTCCATCACAGTACTCCAGGTCCAACATCATCATCTTTCTTTCTTTTTTTTTTTGCTGACCTTGCACCCAGCATCTCCTGACTATAAGATCTGTAAGAACTCATCTGTGTTCTCAGAGCCTGGCTCATAGTTCTTGTTGTTGTAGATGTTGTATGAATGCATCAGGTATGTTTGGATAACACCAATGAGTGGTTCCAACATTCTTCCCAGATTTTAATGTCACTGCTGCAGGACCGCAATCAAGTGAATTTAAAGTGACCATTTCTACTATTTCTCAGGAAAGGAACCTATTAGCAAGTCCAGTGTAGTTAACCATGGCCCCTTTGAAGGCTGGTACCTTGAATCCTCCTCGGTGTCTTCTAAGGAGGTTTGTACCCCTTGTTCCTTTCCAGCCCCAGCTTCTGTCTGCCCTGGTCTGTGCCTGGAAGGCTGATCCTCTCAAAAAATCTCTGCTGGGGGGTCTTTGGGTGGGTTTTGCCCACAGGAGGCATTGCCAGGAGATGGGAGGGCAGGTGGAGAGAGAGGTTGGGGCGCTGCCT